TAAGGATATTCGAAGAGAGATCTTTTAGTAGTGGCTTGATGGTCCGGTTGGATGATAGGATAGAATTGTGGTTGGAATGAGTGGCAGTAGAGGTGTTATGGTGTTATAGTGTGATGCTTAGTGCTGATGAGCAGAGTGGTTTAAGGTAGGATCCAAATGCAGTTTGGAAATTACAAGTTGTTTGCTGTGTGTTGTCAGGTAGGTGATGGATTGTGTGACAGTTGAAACAATTGTATAACCGGTGATCATGTGTCATTGTATTGCATAGAATTTCTCATTGGGAGATTTTTGGGTAGGATGGGACGCGATGTCCAACGTACGGTGATGGTTCCTAGTGTTAGTATGTTGTGGGCATTGGTGCTTTTATCTGATTAGTTTTGGTTAGCATAGTGTTGCGGAGAAGTGTGTGCGAGGTTTTTATATTGATTGTGTAGGATGGTCCGATAATGGCGATGTCGCTTAGATTGGTGTTCGTGGTCCCGTATGTGTTCCAAGTTGGTTCTTCTCCTTGTGTATAAGGAGTTCAATTCATCTCAGGTGAGATCGGGTGCCCATGGTTGGACAAAGGATGAGTAGCGTGTTACAAGTTATCGGGTGCATTTAGGTGTGAGTCGTCGGACTCTTGTTAGAGTGGGGTTCGTTACCCTTTCCGTTTGTTCTAGTCCTGGCATGGACTTCGGTTGTCATGAGTCTTGTTCTCCAATTAGGAGTTGTGCGCACCGTGGAAGGATGGACCTGTGTGTGGTTTGTTCTGTTGTTAGGGTTCATCGGAAGAAGCTTCGGTTAAAAGGAGTCAATTTACTCCCTCAGAGGGAGGTTTAGTCTTTGGTTTCTATAGTGCACATTTTGAGTGTTGTTTTGACTAGTGCTATGTGAGGCACGAGTTGTCGAATGAGGATTTTATGTTTTCAGTGTCTAGTACTGGTGGTGGCGGCAAGGAATTTGTTATGAATGAAAAATTAGGAATGATTAGGTGATGTGAGGTGACTCATGTATTTGGATGTTTTTATAGGTGATTGATTGTAACAGTGTTTTGAGGACATGTGTTGATATTGTCTTATGCAGCTAGAGATGGATTATGGGATTCTATTGAGGAATAATGAGAATGATTGGCTTTAGTTTTGAGGTTTCAGACAAGAGATAGTCGTATTGTGTGTTTTAACGAGGTTATAATTGAATCGAATGGTGTTATGGAGTTATTTACTTTATATGGGTATTATGAGAAGGTGAGGAAGCTTAGATGCTGATCGATGATTGAGACATTTGGTGCCTTGTCATTTTGTTTGTTATAGTTATATTGTTGAGGTATGATTGAGATTATGATGATAAATATGTGACTGTATAGTTATTGAGGTTATGTAGAACGATGGATTGTTGAGAGAGTGGATTTCGTGGTTGCTTTGAGAACTATGTGGGGTTGTGTTTGAGGTTTAAACCTGACGACAGGAACGATATCTGTGTTGAGATTGGATCGATGATGATAACGGCCTGGCTAACAATTTTTCCTGAGTTAGTCCATCTTTAGCACGATGTCGGGTCAAAGGTCCATTATTGTTTTGGTTAACCAGGGATAATGAGAATAGCATTGTATGTTGTGGCTATGTTACAGTGTGGATTTCGGTGGTTGATCTCGGGTGATGAAGTGTGTTAGGTAGCACCAAGTGTCCGATAAAGGGTTTGTGTTACGATCATTGATTATTGAAGATCTTGTTTTGAGGATTTGTGTCTTGGGTATAGGATGGTTCGTTTTATTAATTTGGTGACTAATGTTTATGTAGTCATTGGGGGACTCATTGTTTAATCATCTTGAGGTTGTTAAGTACAATGATTGTCATATAGTGTGATTTGTAGTTGTTGGTATGGTTATGTGGTGGTGTAGCTACGTACTAGATAGCAAGTGTTTGGTCTGCCAGGGATGTGTAGGTTAGAGTTGAGATTGATTGAGAGAAAGACAGGATTTCTTGTTTGGGGTTTGGTATGTCCTTTAAAGGATGTGTTGATGTTAGATATTGTCTTTTTTTTTCGGTGGTTTGACAAGCGTCATTTTCCCAGGTTTTGGAGCCTTTTGTGACTGTGTAGAATAGACTGATATCCGTTTTGAGTCAGGCGTAAGGTTTAGTTGGTCATGTGTTATGATGAAGGGAGAGATGGCCAATCGCATAGGGTTTTGATGGTAGTGATGTGTGATTGCTTGGTGACGTTCGGTATCAAAGGCAATAATGTCGGTGGGTTCATTGTCTCGATGTTTTGTGAGGTGTTTTTGGAGGAGAGTGTGTGGCTGTGGGCCTTCTTCATAAGGAGGGTAGATTTCGAGGACGAAATTTCTTTAAGGAGGGTAGATTGTGATGTTTCCAAATTTTGGTCTCTTTTTTTTTTTTTTTTTTTTTTTTTTTTTTTTTTTTCTGAATATTTTGTTGCAGCAAGGGGTATTTTCGTCTTTTGCCATTTTACGTACCGGACATCGTGGAGAGTGTCGATTGTGTCCGAAAGCTAGTTGGGGCATTTCATTGAGTTCAGGACTCATTGAAATGCAAGGTTAGTCAGTTTTGCATTTTTTCGTTTTTCGGATCAAACAGTCCCGCGTGGGACCCGCTACCGGAATTGTTGCATATGGGGATTTTAGTTGGGTCAAACTGCATTATATTTATTTTATTTAATGTGATATGTGGTTATGGTTTGGTGATATATATATATGTATATATGTGGTGTAAAATGAAAGTAAAGGAAAAAGGAAAAATAAAAGAAAATTTGTGGGGCCCACATCTATGTTTTAAGAGAGAGAAAGAGACAATTTTGGTCTCATTTATTTCCCTTTTCTCTCATTCCCGCTGGTCTCTCTCTCCTTCTCAAACTTTCATTTTTTCTTTTTTTCACTTCAAGGCTTTAATTCTTGGTCTCTCCTTCAATACTTGGTATTTTTGAGTGTCGTTTGCGGTAAATTGAAGCTCACGGCGAGATCTACAAGTTGATTGGAGCAATTTCTAGTTTGGTGCACTTGGGAATTTTGAGATCTAGGGCATTAATTTGGGGGGTTTTGCCTAAAATCAAGGTAGGGGTTTCTAATCCATAATCTCTTGGATTTTTGTGAGTCAAGTCCTTCTAATTTGTGTTATTATATGATTAATTTTGTATATATTTCATGTAAAATTTGCTATGTATTGTATATGAGATGTATTTGCATGCTAAGTTGATATGTGATGAAGAACTATGTTTAAATGATGATATTTTCATGTCTATTGCGTTATAAGTGATGAATTTTGTGATTAGAAAGCTTGAGATATATTTCTAGAATTTTTCTTTTGAATTAAAGCATGTAATTATGTGAATTAATTGATGTTGTATGAGAAAGCATTTTTAAGTGGTGAATTTCTATGTCTATTGTGTTTGATTTGCTAAATTTTCATTATAGAGACATGTTGGTTATTATTAGAAATTTCTTACAAAGCTTGCTATATTGTGAACACATGACTCGTACGGTATGTGATTCCCCTTTATGATATTGTTCAAAATCATGATGTATTCGTGCATAGCATTGGGCAAGGAAAATGGAAAGAATTGTTTTGAAATGGAAAAAGGGGATTTTTGGGAAAAAGATTTGATGAAATGGTTTTGTGAAAAACCCGGTCGCCGCGGCGCTACCAAAAAGCCGTAGTGTTAATATAACCTAGAGGGAACTAGAGAGATCGCACTAGCGTGGTTGAGCTATCTGGGCCTAAATGACACCGCAGAGGTATCAACGGTCCTTCCATCGTGTGGCCGCGGAGTCACTAACGGATGGGTTATATTAACAGTTTAAAAAGTGATGGATTTGGATTTTGAAAATGGGGAGTGACATTCATGACATCACATATCATGGCACGGCATTGTTATTTTGGAATTGGAATTAATGATGTATTCTTTCCCGGCATAGTATGACCCATATCCTCTGTTCCTATTCATTATTTAGATTCACGGGGTTACAAGAGGTGTGTCTTAGGCACCACTTACTGAGCAATTTGCTCACCCTTTATATTTAAAATTTTTCAGGACATGTATGGCAAGTGGCGGACGATGTTCCTCCACAGGGTTCGATGGCTTAGTAGACTGTTTTGACATACTTTGTAGCTATAATTTCATTTTATTATTATTTATTTATTTATTTATTATTACTTATATTTTTTATCAACCTGGAATGACATGTATAATATGTATTGACGTAGGAAAGAATGGTATTGTCCCTAGTTGACCTCGGGTTTGGTTAAGGACCCGGCTAATGGTTCGGACCTACGGGTTCGGGTCGTTACATTATGCTAAATCAAACAACCAAACCTCTCTTAATTTCTTCGCCACCTCCTTAAACATAATCCCCCGTTCCTCGTTTGAATAATAATGCAAAAATCTATTGTAATCAAACCTAGGAATTATTCATCACTCTCTCCACATATTTTGTTGCTTCTAAAAACTTCCATGCCTTTACTAAACCGCCAGTAACTTCACTTGCCCTTCTCAACTTCAAAAGCCCTTTGATCACAATCTATGAAACATACACTTATATATGGTTTCTCATTCCCTTTCATAATCTTATAAGCCTCTCTTACTCGAGCCTTTGTCAATAGCCCACAAATTAGTGACCCCAATGTCAAATTATCTGCTTCAATCCCTCTCTTATGCATTTTTTCAAACACCAAATGAGCTTGCCCAACCATACTTTTTTTTTTACACATCCAAATGATTACAAGTCGTTGATAAACCCAAATCATCAATCATTTTGGTCCTCATTGATTGAAAAAGCTTTATAGAATTGATTAGTCTTGAAAAGGGTCTCCATCATTGTCTCAACCGTATATCCAATTCTATTTGCAATAGCTTAAGTATGCCTTCTGAGACATAACCACACTAACCTATACATTGGCAACAAACACTGTGGGATAATGTTTGGTTTTGTAGTCCCACATCGGGGAAACATAAATGTGAGGTATCTAAAGAGTCCTATATATTAAGTTAAAAGCCTAAGGGACAATATACTTACCTAGATGGGATCAATGGGCGATCAATGAGGCCTATGGTCTAGGTTGGTGACCTCCATTGCACTCAAAGAGGGGTGCCTGCCTAAGTTCTACTCAAGTAATGGAGCGTAAGTCATAATTTATGGTAGTGGGGGCCTGCGTTCGCGCGGCCCCTTCCCAATTTTTAGTCTAAGTATTTATGTAGTTTATATATGGGTTTAGTTTCAATGTTTGCCCTAGATTTCCTTGTGCTTTTTTTAGGTTAGGTTACAAGCATATCAATTGTATGCTACTTCGAATAAAAAGTGATGAGCACTGAAAAGTGCGTATTTAAACCCCTTAAGCTTAAGCATTCTAGCACCTTTATCTATCTTACTTTACCATTTTAGATTGATTTCGTATTATTTTCATTTTCAGGCACTTATCCCGAAAATAAGCTAACTCAGCCAAATAAGAGCTTAATTGAAGCAATTCTGGGATTAAACAAAGAAAAGAGCAAAGTGGAGAAAGAAGGAAGCAAATGAAGCCAAAGGTGACAAGTAGCAAAGTTCGATCGATCCAAGTTCAAGGTTCGATCGACCGAACAATGATCGATCTCAGCACTTCAAGATAGATCCAAGCCTTGGCCCATAAGCATAAAGTCCCAAAAGTTCGATCGATCCAACACCACCCTTCGATCGATTGAACACTTTTGTCTTTATTCAAATGATTGATCCTATCCACAGCTATACCACCCACTAACTACTTTTGTACGTTTCCCAAAAATATCTTCTCAAAATATCTCGAATTTGTCTTTTCCCAAAAAAGCTCAACCACTTGGATCGATCCAGCTTAAGTTCGATAGATCTCAGCCAGTTCGATCGATCCAAGTCCAAGGTTCGATCGATCGAACTCCCTCCAGTACGAAAAAGTTAAAGTTCCATCTCATTGAAAGTTATCCTTTATCCAATCATTAGGGAATATTATGTGCACGACCCCAGCTCATTTTGGGTGTCATTTTGACCTACCTATATAAGGATAATGATTACTTTTTACAAGGAGAGCCATATATCATTTTCATATCATCTCTTGGAGAGGAAGCATAGAGGAGGAGGCTAGAGACACCATTGGAGACTCTTCATCAACCAAGGAGCAGATTTTCACCATGGAGTTAGCCCTTGAGGGTTGGAGCAAAATCATCATGAGTGGCTAGACATCTTCTTGGGGCTAGAGTTAGCCCCAAACATGCTTTCTATATCTTAATCTTGTGTATTATTGAGGGATTAGTGTTGTAAGTAATGTTTTGATACTTTGATATATATAGATCTTCTTTATTCAATGATTTATGTGGTTTAATGCTTCCAATTGATCATTTCATTCTATCCATATGTCCATGTATGCTAGAATAGATGTTCATGTGCTTGTCTCTAGATTTTGTGTTATTGATGCATGTCTATGTGTATTGATGCTATAGATTTAGAGATTGTCAAAACATAGTGCTTAAAGAAATGCTCTTGTGATTCTCTTGATGGTTTATACTTATTCCTTGATGGATTGTGCCTATCCCCTAGTTTATTTTCATGCTAGTAGTGTAGATGTAGTGTAGTTGTAGTGTAGTGTTAAATGGGAGGACAATCTATGCTTGTTGTTTGATGATCCAAGCTTTTGAATGCAAGTAGCATATGTCTCTATCCTTGTGTTGTATTTGGATTGTGAGCTTAATGAAATGATTAATGACTTGTTTTGATCTATTGTGCCTCTCACATGTTGTTTAGACAATATATGCTTCATTGCTTAGATATATTGTGCCTTTCACATGATGTTTAGACAATACATGCTTAACTAGTCATCCTTGTTTATTAAATCAACTAAACACACACACACCAATATTATAACACACCATTTGCCCTCATTAATCACTTGTCAATGATATAGAAATGCATTGCTTGGTGGTGATCTCTAAACCCCAAGATTTCTCTCTCTCTTACTTACTCTTAATTGCATTCTTTGTTATCACTTAGTTTAATTTAGTTGTTCTCTAATCAACCAACCAACCAATTGTTTGATCACTCGACCTACTAGCCCTAATAACGATTGCATTGCTTGTTCGATCCTCACAATCCCTAGGGACGATCCCTACTCGCCCTAGCTATATTTATAGTGAAAGGTAGTAGAGGCTTCTATAAATGTAAAACTCTTGGCCCTCGCAGTAATGCATACTCTTAAGCTCATGGTAGGACGACGACCACCAAAAGGTATGGCTTTCAGTTTATCCACGAATGCTAAACATATAAAAATAAGTGACCACTAATAGTTGTGGTAGATTAAGATTGCACAACTATCAATATCTCTACAAAAGTAACCAAGTATGGTTTTCCCTTTATTTTCTACCTTTCTTATTGTCAGTTGGATTTCTTGCTGGAGAGTTCCATTCCTTCCCCGCAGCCAGATCAGTGGGCGCAGATGCAGTTTCATCATTCTGAATTACGTGCTCCAGTTTGTTACCTCGGCGATGAACTCTTCATTTCTTTCTCCTTTGTGACTCATTCAAGAACATTAGTAAGAGATCAAGACCACCCAGCTTGTAAAAGCTTCAGATTCAACCAATATCATAAATGACGAGCCTCAAAAGCATATGATTTTTTGCAATGGTGTCCCTTGGTTGTAGCAGACTTTGGCTTTTCTGGGTTGCGTTTTTTTGATTTTTCTTGCGCTAGGGAATCGGTTGATGGTAAAGCTCCCGCATCAACAACAGCCGGTGCATCTTACTGGATTGAAAACAATCCTCCATGCCCCTTTTGTCTTTCCCTTCACCTTCAAGAAAACTAAAAGCACTAGTCTTGGTAGACGCCATTGAAAGGATTTTTTCAGTAAGCCTAACCATCTAAACCTTTCCCTTACTTGGCTACTTGTAAAGTCCATGTTTAGGTATCCTAAAGCACGCTCCTCTCAATCTGATCATCTGTCTTTCAGCTCATCAAGCTCCACGTCAACACTCAAACATACTTTACTGATTCCCAAACTTCTGCCCTATCAATCAAATTTATTTTGTAAATCCTATTTGGAAATATTTGCATAAATTATTTATTTAATTATCAATTTACCACCATTCCACTCTTTCCCCCATTGATTTCATAGCATACACCTAGTCAAAATTGATCACCATTACATGTTCAAAGTACAAAAGTGAGAAGTAGTTCTCATAACAACTCAAGTGAAGAGAATATCTAAGGGAAATAAATCACATTAGAGGTGGTTTTGTTAAACCATTTTATGTCATCAATTCATTGTTCTACAATGGTAATTCAGTTTCATTGTTTCTGTATTACATTCCCCTGTAAAAGTAAAATAACAATAAATTTACTTAAGCAAAATCTTTTAAGCAATCGGCAATAAGCCATAATTGCACTATCCAACAACTAGTTAGCATCAAAGAATTATCTAATCTCATTAGATACTTACCAGCATTTGCATTGACCTCTTTTCCACATTCTTATCCAATTGTCTAACACCCTCCAAACGCCCTTCAGATCCTGTATGCAACCCACTATCTGAAAATTCAGCAATAGCATCCGAGAAAACTTTATCTTTTGAGCTGTTCGATCTTTCACCAACTCCACCACTAGTGAACTCTGTACTACTACCCTTCTCAATGTTTGGACCTTAACAACCAATTAGTAGACAACAAACACATGTTTTTTCAAGAAATAATCAAACAAAGAAAGGAATTCATGAAACAACATTTATCAACTGCGTTATGGCTATTTCATCGGAGAGGTTCAATTGCCCTATTTCTCCTCCTATCTCTAGTTGCCATTTTCTCCCCATATTTCGCAAAAGTGTCTGCTAAATCAATCAACCCAACTTCTCCCAATTTCTTCCCTACCTCTTCAAACATGATCACCGCTTCTTCATTTGAATAATGATGCAAAAATCTATTTTAATCAAACTTAGGAACCTAAAGTCCTCTCTCCACATACTTTGTTGCTTCTAAAGACTTCCCTGCCTTCACTAAACCGCCAACAAAAATGGTGTCAAAATTCAGTAGTGGGTCTGATCCCTTCCTCCCTCTCTTCCCTTGATGCCCTTGCAGTAACATTATACTACATATGTATGCATTGTAGCCTCTCTTTTATCATCTCTCTAAACACTTGAGATGCCTCTCAACTTCAAAAGCCCCTTGATTAATCCATGATACACACTTATATCTAGTTTCTTAATCCATTCCACAATCTTATAAGCCTCTTTAACTCTACTAGCCTTTGTCAATATGACCCCGATGTCAAATTATCCAATTCAATCCCTCTCTTATGCATTTCTTCGAACACAAAATGAGCTTGCTTAAGCTCTCTTTTTTTACACATCCAATTGATCACAACCCAGTATGATGATAGACACAAATTATCCATCCTTTTTATCCTCATTGATTGAAAAAACCTGAATGCTTTGTCGAATTGATTAGTCTTGAAAAGGGTTTCTCCATCATTTTTTCAACCATCTCAGTATCCGCTTGGAACCCTTCATCAACCATCAAATTCCAAACTTTAGAAGCCCCAACCAACCAAGATAAGAAGAAGATATGCATTCAACATATCTTCAAGGGTCTCTCCATCATTTCTTTAAGCTTGCTTTTGTATTAGTATTTGACGATAACAAAGGGTAAGGGCCCGTTTGGCATGCGCTTTATTTTAAGCGTTTTATTTTTAGCTAAAACAGAAACAGTGTTTTTGTTGTAAAAGTGTTTTGAAAAAAAATCGAAAGCACGTTTGGGAATGAAATTTTGCTGTGGAAATGTTGGGTCGTGTTTCGCTATTATTATGGTTTTAGGTCATGAACAACTGTTAAAATAAGAAAAAATAACTTTTTGGTGTTTTGGTTTTGGGTCACTGTTCACGAAGTGTTTTAACACTGTGTAAAATAAAACAAGACTGCACCAAGCATGCTTTTGTTGTCAAAATCGACACTGTAGCAGTCCAAAAACAAAAACAATATTAACAAAACGCAAGCCAAATGGGGCCTAAGTTTACATAAGTGAAGTGATCCGTCATGATGTTCTCTTGTCCCACATCATGAAAACATAAGTTGGAGTTATCTTGACAGGCCTATATAATGAGTTGAAAGCCAATGAGGGGTGCCTGTCTAAGGTCTACTCAAGTAGTAGAGCCTACGTCATAATTTGTGGCAGTGGAGCCCTGCGT